GTCTTCCAGCGCGTCTGTCGGCCTCCAGGAGCTGCCCGTGAGAAATGGTACGGATTAAAGCGGGAAAATTCGAGGAAAAATCGAGAAAGACCGAGACCGGGGAGCGCAGGATCAGGATTGGTGGAAACCGGTGGTCAGGGCGGGGAAAATGAAGGCGGAAAACACAAACCGAAGAGCAGAAAATACGAGCCAGAGAAGGAGGGAAGGAGGGAAGGAGGGAGGGAAGGAGGGGAGGAGGGGAGGAGAGAAAGGGGTCTTACCGTTCGTATGTGCCCATGGTATGGGCCAGTTTCTTGCTGAGTTGCTGGACCCAGTATTCATTCAACGCGTTCCGGAGGGCGCGACGCTTCTCATCTGAGGGATGGGGGAGGGGAGGGAGGAATAGAGGGAGGGAGTGAAGGAAGGAGGAAGCTTTAAAGAGTCTGTCTGTGTGGCTGAGCACACAGCATTGCACCTTTTTTGGTGTTCTCCCTCCATTCCTCTGTTGTTATCTTCGTCTGTTCGATAACTTCCTAGGTGCATACAATCACACAGCTCTTCAGTCTTCTCCCTCCATTGTCTTCTCCCTCCATTCCTCTGTTGCTATCTTCGTCTGTTCGATAAGTTCCTAGGTGCATACAATCACATAGTCAAATCGCACACGCCGGCCAGCAGCGTGCCCCCCCCCTCTTCCCTCGTTCTCTTCTCCTTCCCCTCTCCCTTTCCGTCCCCCTGCCTTGGTGCAGCAGATTTCGTCTGAGGAAACCGTCCTCATCCCCGCCTTCTGTCCTGCCCTCGAAGAATGCTTGAAGTTTCGCTTGATTCCACACCAGGTAGTGAGCGCCTGTCTCTCCGCTGAGAAGGGAGGAAAGGAAGGAGGGAGAAAGGAAAGAGGGGAAGAAGGAAGGGAGGGAGGGAGGGAGGGAGAGGAGAAAATTAAGAAGTCATGGTAAGGGCTGTGCCCTTAGATTTGGCTTGTCGAAATAAAGGACCATGTGAAAGGGAAAAGAAAGCGTGGAAGGGTAGCAGGGGTGGAGGAGGGGAAGGAGAAAGGGAGGGAGGACGGGACGAGAAAGGGATGGAAAGAGGAATAGAAAATGTCAGAAAGGAACAACATACGAGCATATGGCGGTGACAGAGCGAGGCCCTCTCCTGTTTGAGACAAAGGATGCCTCCCCGAGAAAGTCGCCTTTGCTGGAAAGAAAAGGGCAGAATCGAGGGGAAAGGGATGTGGGAAAGGGAGGGAGAGAGGGGAGGGACGGAAGGAGGAAGTTGAACAGGAGAGAGGGGAGGGACGGAAGGAGGAAGTTGAACGTGAAGGACGCGTCGTACGGAAGTATCGCGAGCAACACACAAACACAAACTCTATCCGAGTCCCTCCCTCCCCTCTTGCGCTCCCCCCCCCCTGTTTCCTCCTTCCTT